TTTGTCATATAACGCTTTGAAACTACTGACGGTCTTGGCCTCCACCACCTTCTCCCCTAACTTGTTCCAACCGTCTACCACTCTGTTTGCGAAAGTGAATTTTCTTATATTTCTTCGGCATCTGTGTTTAGCTAGTTTATATCTATGACCTCTTGTTCTTAACGTTCCAAGTCTCAAGAAATCTTCCCTATCGATTTTATCAATTCCTGTTACTATTTTGTATGTAGTGACCATATCACCTCTTTTTCTTCTGTCTTCTAGTTTTGGGATATTTATTGCCTCTAACCTCGTAGCTCTTGCCCTTCAGTTCTGGGAGCCACTTAGTAGCATGTCTTTGCACCTTTTCCAGTTTGTTGATGTGCTTCTTAAGATATGGGCACCACACAACTGCTGCATATTCTAGCTTTGGCCTAAGAAAGGTCGTGAACAATTTCTTTAGTATATCGCCATCCATGTATTGAAAAGCAATTCTGAAGTTAGAAAGCGTGGCATAGGCTCCTCGCACAATATTCTTTATGTGGTCCTCAGGTGATAGTTTTCTATCTAGAACCACCCCTAGATCTCTTTCTTTATCAGAATTCTTTAAAGATTTCTCACATAATATATAGGCTGTGTGAGGTCTATGTTCTCCTATTCCACATTCCATAACATGGCATTTATTAACATTAAATTCTATTTGCCAAGTGGCGCTCCATGAACTTATTTTGTCCAGGTCATCTTGAAGGGCATGACAATCATCTAAGTTTCTTATCCTTCCTATTATCTTAGCATCATCAGCAAACATGTTCATATAATTCTGTATACCAACTGGTAGATCATTTATGTAGACAATAAACATCACTGGTGCAAGAACTGAACCCTGTGGTACTCCACTTGTGACATTTCTCCAGTCTGATACATTGCCTCTGATCACAGCCCTCATTTTTCTATCAGTCAGAAAATTTTTCATCCATGTTAGAAGCGTACCTGTCACTCCTCCAATATTTTCCAGTTTCCAGAACAACCTCTTATGTGCAACTCTGTCTAGTGTCTAGAGGTGTCTAGTTTCTGTTTCTGGGCACTAGTTACCTGAGTACATTACACCTGCTTGATGGGGTTCTGGGAGTTCTTCTACTTCCCAAGCCCGGCCCAAGGCCAGGCTCAACTTGTGAGTGTTTGGTCCACCAGGCTGTTGCTTGGAGCGGCCCGCAGGGCCACATACCCACCACAGCTCGGCTGATCTGGAACTTCTCTTAGAAAACAGTCCAGTTTTCTCTTGAAGATGTTCACGGTTGTTCCGGCAATATTTCTTATAGTCGCTGGGAGGACGTTGAACAACCGCGGACCTCTGATGTTTATACAGTGCTCTGATTGTGCCTATGGCACCTCTACACTATTTGGAAGAATACACACACAGTGGGTACTGGGGTGGGCCTACCTCCAAATGGCCCCTTGGTAAACTAAAAATAAACCAATTTTAGCTCAAATAATCTATGCTAGGATTCTTGGAAACCATTGTGGCACCACAATTGCCCTTCTTGGTCTCTGTCTACCGATTGTTGTAATGCCTGGTGGCCTCTGTCTACAGACTACTATGGTTCCAAATTTCTGTGATTTTGGTGTTTTGTTTTTTGCAAGAAATATATATTTATTATATATGTTATGTTTTCCACATTTTCAGCACATCAGTGTCTACTTACTGCTGAAGCAAGTACCTTCATCAGGGTTCCCGAAGATCATATCTTAGAAGGGTCGACGACGTCCATTATTTTGAAGCCAGTGGACCCCACAACCATCCTCTGAGTGATAGTGGACCCCACCCTCATCCTGTTGGTGGCAGTGGACCCCACACGTATCCTGTGGGTGGTAGTGGATCCCACACCCATCCTGTGGGTGGTAGTGGATCCCACACCCATCCTGTGGGTGGTAGTGGACCCCACACCCATCCTTTTGGTGGTAGTGGACCCCACACCCATCCTGTGGGCGGTAGTGGACCCCACACTCATTCTGTGGGTAGTAGTGGACCCCATACCCTTCCAGTGGGTGGTAGTGGACCTCACAACCATCTTGTGGGTTGTAGTGGATCCCATTCACATCCTTTGGGTGGTAGTGGACCCAACACCCATCCTGTCCTTGGTAGTGGACCCCATACCCATCCTGTGGGTAGTAGTGGACCCCATACCTATCGTGTGGGTGGAAGTAGACCCCACACCCATACTGTGAGTGGTAGTGTAACACATACCCATCCTGTGGGTGGTAGTGCACCTCACACGCATCCTGTGGGTGGTAGTGGACCCCACAGCCATCCTTTGGGTGGTAGTAAACCCCCCACCTATCCTGTGGGTGGTAGTGGACCCCACACCCATCCTGTGGGTGGTAGAGGACCTCAGAACCATCATGTGTTTGGTGGACCCCACACCCGTCCTGTGGGTGGTAGTGGACCCCACACCCGTCCTGAAGTTGGTAGAGGACCTCACAACCATCATGTGGGCGGTTGACCCCACACCCATTCTGTGGGTGGTAGTGGACCCCACACCCATCCGTAGGGTGGTAGTGGACCCCACACCCATCCTGAGGGTGGTAGTTGACCCAACACCCATCCTGTGGGTGGCAGTGAACCCCACAGCCATCCTGTGGGTGGTAGTGGATCACATACCCATCCTGTGGATTGTAGTGGACCTCACAACTATCATGTGGGTTGTGGACCCCACACCCATCCTGTGGGTGGTAGTGGACACCACACCCATCCTGTGAGTGGCAGTGGACCCCACATCCGTTCTGCGGGTGATAGTGGACCCCCCACACCCATTCTATGGGTGGTAGTGGACCTCACACCCATACTGTTGGTTGTAGTGGACCCCACACCCATCCTGTAGGCGGTAGTGGACCCCACACTGATCCTGTAGGTAGTAGTGGACCCCATACCCTTCCTGTGGGTGGTAGTAAACCCCACACCCATCCTGTCGGTGGTAGAGGACCCTACACCCATCCTGTGGGTGTTAGAGGACCCCATACCCATCCTGTGGCTAGAAGTGCACCCCATACCCATCCTGTGGCTAGAAGTGCACCCCATACCCATCCTGTGGGTGGTAGTGTACCTCACACCTATCCTGTGGGTGGTAGTGGACCCCACACCAATCCTGTTCTTTTAGTGGACCCCACACTCATCTTGTGGGTGGTAGTAGACCCCACACCCTTCCTTTGCGTGGTAGTGGACCTAACAACCATCAAGTGGGTTGTGGACCCCACACCCATCCAGTGGGTGGTAGTGAACCCAACACCCATCCTGTTGGTGGTAGTGAACCCCACACCCATCCTGTGGGCGGTAGTGTACCCCACACTCATCCTGTGGGTAGTAGTGGACCCCATACCCTTCCTGTGGGTGGTAGTGAACCCCACACCCATCATGTCGGTGGTAGTGGACCCCATACACTTCCTTTGGGTGGTAGTGGACCCCACACACATCCTGTGGGTGGTTGTTGACACCATACTCATCCTGTGATGCTAGTGGACCCCATACCTATCCTGTGGGTGGTAGTGAGCTCCACACCCATACTGTGGGTGGTAGTGGACCCCACACCCAACCTGTGGGTGGTAGTTGATCCCATACCCATCCTGTGTGAGGTAGAGGACCCCACACATCCTGTGGGTGGTAGTGGACCCCATACTCAGTCTGTGGATGGTAATGGACTTAGCACCCATCCTTAGGGTGGTAGTGGACCCCACACCCATCCTGAGGGTGGTAGTGGACCCCACACCCATCCTTAGGGTGGTAGTGGACCCCACACCCATCCTGTGGGTGGTAGTTGACCCAACACCCATCCTGTGGGTGGCAGTGAACCCCACAGCCATCCTGTGGGTGGTAGAGGATCACATACCCATCCTGTGGATTGTAGTGGTCCTCACAACTATCATGTGGGCTGTGGACCCCACACCCATCCTGTGGGTTGCAGTGGACCTCACAACCATCAGGTGGGTTGTGGACCCCACACCCATCCTGTGGTTGGTAGTGGACCCCACACCCATACTGTTGGTGGTAGTGGACCCCACACCCATCTTGTTGGTTGTAGTGGACCCCACACCCATCCTGTAGGCGGTAGTGGACCCCACACTCATCCTGTGGGTAGTAGTGGACCCCATACCCTTCCTGTGGGTATTAGTGAACCCCACACCCATCCTGTGGTTGGTAGAGGACCCCATACCAATCCTGTGGGTGGTAGTGGACCCCACTCCCATGCTGCGGGTGGTAGTGGACCCCATACCCCATCATGTGGGTGGTAGTGGACCCCATACCCATCCTGTGGGTGGTAGTGGATCCCTTTCTAATCCTGTGGGTGTTAGTGAACCCCACACTTATCCTGTGGGTGGTAGTGGACCCCATACCCATCCTGTGGGTTGTAGTTGACCCCACACCCATCCTGTGGGTGGTATTGAACCCTATACCCATCCTGTGGGTGGTAGTGGACCTCTCAACCATCCTGTGGGTGGTAGTGGACCCCACAACTAGATAGGTTTTAAGCGTCATGATAAATCTTGTTTCCTGTTGGGTTCGTGCTGATTATATGAGTCTGTTTATATACTGAAGTGCGTTATATGCTACATAATGATGCCTAACAGTGTTTTCAGGCACTTGTTCAGTTGGAGCAGAAAGCTCGCTACAAAAGGTATTCATCTTACCTTGTGTAAATACTCTTGCACAGTAATTGGTCAGTAAATACGTGTGAAATATGCAGTGATGGAATGTGAAGTGTGAGGAAAATACATATTGAAGGTTAGAACTCATGTATACACTCACAACAGCTTACTGAGTCAACCCTGGCAACAGAAGCACTCACCAGACCTCATTTACACACTCACAACAGCTTTCTGAGTCACCCCTGGCAATAGACACACTCACCAAAAACTACACACAATAAACAACTCTTAAACTGGTCTGTAAATTGGTAAGAATATTGCATTAATAATATGAATGAAATAGTTAAACAAAAACCGACAAATAGAAGGTTAATAAAACCTCAACATTACAGAACGCTTATTATCTTATTTAAGTTTACACTCAAAATATATACACGTGCAAATGAAATACACTTAAAAAAGTACAAACAGCATGTGGATTATACTTGAAATAAACTTGTGCTATGTTTACATTATTGTAAATAATATTTATAATATATAACATTTGTTCAGTTTTGTAACAGATTGCTTATTTTAAGGTAAATAATGCCTTAATGTTTAACAATATAACCTTGGTGTGACATGTCCTGTCAGGCAGTCACCAGGGATGTGGCTACACAGTCCATCTACAGTCATCAGGGATGTGGCTATAGACAGTCTATCTACAGTCACCAGGGATGTGGCTATACACAGTCACCAGGGATGTGGCTATACACAGTCCATCTACAGTCATCAGGGATGTGGCTATACACAGTCTATCTACAGTCACCAGGGATGTGGCTTTACACAGTCACCAGGGATGTGGCTATACACAGTCCATCTACAGTCACCAGGGAAGAGGCTATACACAGTCCATCTACAGTGACCAGGGATGTGGCTATACACAGTCCACCTACAGTCACAAGGGATGTGGCTATGCACAGTCCACCTACAGTCACCAGGGATGTGGCCACACAGTCCATCTACAGTCACCAGGGATGTGGCTATACACAGTCCATCTGTCGGAAAATCCGACACCATATAATAATATCATGCAATTGCAGATAATATTGCTGCGTTGTATAAACAAGTTACCCATAGAAAATGTAACTTGTAGTGGAACTTTCCGTCTATAGAAAACGGGATATCATTGGCACATACTATTATAAATTCACCACCTATTATGGTGGGAATAATTCTTAAATACTTTAGTCTTTGGACTTTTACCATCATAAAACATTCTCATTTAAATTAACTTAATTATCAATATTAAAATAAAGTAAATGTGACCTTTCTATCACTTTCTGATATCTGGACAATGTAGGCCAGTAGCGTCAGTGAGGAGGGAGTGGTCAGCCATTGTTGTTCTTAGACCAGAGGCGCACGGGAGTAAATTCGGCTCCTGTTAATTTCTCTTGGACGAAGTGTTATGGAAACCAAAGGTCTGCCATCATGAACACGCTGTCAACATAATCAAGGAAAGTGTTCTACCGAAACACATTTATCTAATCATTTTTGGCCATTAATGTCAGTAGATAGGGCGGACAGGTTAGAATGCGAACAGCCTCTTAAAAAAAGGTAATTAAACCTTGGTCTTTCTGATTCATTGTACAGTGTTTTCTCTGATATAGCTGTCATATATTAGGACTCTGGCTTTACAGCTAGTGTGTGGGGTGTTGGATGGAAGCTCATGCTATGGACTATCATTTGAGGCTAGCCAGAAGTCTGTGATTACTCTGTAGAGGGAGTTACAGACTTTTCCTGTTTCTGTGAAAATAGGATGGGAGTTGAGAGTGAGTGGTGTGAGAGGATACTTGACTAAAACCGTTAGAGGTGGTGGGGACAGTGGGGTAAACGTCGCCCCCCCCCCCCCACCATGTGAGACAGGCAGACATTGTCTTTAGGCCTCCCCCTCCTTGTGACGTCACGGGACGCCTGAGGGTGAGGGGCGCCTGTTATTGGTTTAGGCATCTCCACCTCTAGCTGAATTTTGGCGCGAACAGCTGCTATTGGTGGTGGTACCAGAGAGTGTGCCGGCTTTGTGCTGATTGGTCAAGACAAAGTAGGGGGAAAGATATAGGCCTTTTGAGTTCCCATAGCCCACCAAATCTTTAGTTTGAGCTGGGCAGAGAGTTGAGAAAGACGTAGCTGGGGGTGGAGGTGGGTGACGGGGGGGGGGGGGGGCCCCCCCCCCCATTAATCGCTGTGTCATCCTTTGTTACTCATCGTGGATGGCACTCCTGCCATCCTGGGTTGTGTCAAGGCCCAATGTGCGTGAAATTGGGGCCCATGAGTACGGAAGGAACAGTAACAAGCTAAGAGACAGTTTACAGTGTTCACCATGAGGCAGCTGGTAGGCCTCATGGTATATCAGATTGTTCCCTCACATCGAGTCTGAGTGTCCTGTCTAGTGTTGATGGACAATGGACAATTGGTGGAATATGGGCAGTGAAATTGTGGTGATTTTACTGGCCCCTGTTGGACTTTGTAATCCACCTTGTTGGGTCCGCCATGTGGTGACGCCGCCGGCCACCTTGGCCAGCCGGCCGGGGGGGGGGGGGGCCACCCTCCAGGTCAGCAGCGCGCCGGCCACCCCAGGCCACCCGCGCGCCAAACCCCCACCCCACCCCGCGCGCCAGATCAGCCCGGGTGGGGTGCTGTGACGTCACAAGCTACCCGTGGCCACCCCCTTAGGGCCACGAGGTGGCCACATGCCTTAGCCACTTTCCCTGGACAGTCTAGGGCCACACCTAGTCGACACACGAGTAGCGAACTGGGTGTTCTACAGCCAGAGGGGTAGTGACCAGGGAAATGTATGTTGTGTTGAGGATTTAAAGAAACGTGAGTACAGTAATCATTGTGTAACAGTGTCTCAGGACTAGTGGAAATTCCGGTAAAAGCTGTGCTGTCCCATAGCTCTGCCAGGCTACGGAAGCAGCTGAGAGACAGCTGTCAGTGGCACGTCCAGGTGACTGGTAGGGCGGTACCTGGAGATGGATGTTGTACACGGGACCACACTGTAGATATATAGCTATATATAAGTGTGTAGACTGACTCGGGTATGTAACCGGTCAGTGTAGAGATCAACCATATAAATGATCCAGTCTGTCGATTCCATATAATTGTTCAGATTTGATTAATGCCATTATAGTACAACATGTTAATTAATCATTGCAGAGGTAGGCAGGACAGTGTTGCAGGGATGTCAGTGGACACCCTGAGGTCTGTGTAGTTAGGGATACATTTTTCTGGTGATATAATTTTCATTGATTAAATGAATGCCATTTCTATGTGTTCATTTGCATGTTTTTATGTACTGTGTTGTGTGGTGAGTCAGTAGATGAGATTGCTGACTGATTGCCTAATGATGTCATTAGCATGTGGGGTATGCTGACGGCATCATTATGCTGTAGGTTTGTGCAGTGTTGTTATCAGGTATACAATATTACTGCCCTAGGAACTGTGTGGAGGCTTTAAGGGGCCTCTTTGATTATTCAGGGGAATTCACAGTACTTAATGAGAGCAAGCAATTGATTTGTTAATTGCCTAATTAAGAGAATTAGTGCCAGCTGTCCGCGTAGCGACGGTGCTTTATATTAACGTAAATTGTCTTGCTGAAGGAGTCCTTTGCAACGGTAGCAAGATAAGGGGGCAGTAATATTGTTATACTCTTGTTGTTGCATAACCGTGTGTCATTACTGTGTGGGCACAGTAATTAACGAGTTGCAGTACCCGCAACCATATGTGGGCAGTGCATTTATATTGTTATGCATGCCGTAGTAAGTGTGACCTATGTAACACTGGGGTTACTTTGTTTCTTTAAGTTGTGTTGAGGACTTAAGGATTCAGTGAGCTGATTAAAAGGGTAATTAACTGGATAAGGGGTGCACATTTATTGTTGAGAGAGTGAGAGCTGTTATAGGAGAACAGTATTGAGCTTGAGTGAAATACGTTTCGGGTGTAATTAATTGTCCGTGTGACAACTATTTTATCACTCTAGCTAATTATGTAATTAGCCTTCTCATCATGAATTTACGTAGTGGGAGAGGATCTGTCAGAGTCTGTCAGTATTTGTGTTAACGTAATTTGCTCGGGACTAATTACCTTTCTGGGGTAGAGCAATTAGTGGATCATGATAATTAGGGGAGTAATTAACTCCTCTCCCATGAATTCACAGTGTTTGATGAGACCTGCTTAGGCAGTGGGAAGTGAGACGTATTTATGTATGATTAATTATCGGTCCTGGTGACAGTTAATTAATTGCTCGGAATTAATTAGGGTAATTAACACTCAGTAAAGTAAATTTTGACACAGACTGTTGAGAAGCTACCAAGTTAGGGTAGGCTTAGTTAACGTAACTCAATTGGGATGTAATTAGTGGTCCGTTTGACCTTAATTAAGAATTACTCACTGAATACTTGCAAGGAGTCGAGTGTGATGTAATATAACAGAGTTTTGAGGTATTGTTAACAAGATGACTTTTATTAAGAGAAACAAGTGTTAATGATTAACGTAGAGTACCATCCTGTTGTTGTCTATGAGAGACAATGGTTGTGATTAACGTAGTACTTTGTTGCTGACTGCTGTGATCAGTCAATTAACGTAATTAATCACATAATCAATTTTGCAGTTGATTGAGGTAATTTCTTTTGTTTATCGTCTGGTGACGAGAGTAGAGTAACTTAGGGATTACTGGAGCTGTGTCCCAGAATTCCACCTGGCCTGCCTTTGTTTACTGTGATAGGGGAAGTCACTGTTGGACTACCCGCCTAGTTACGGGGGTCACTCCTGTTTGGAAGGAGGACCCTTAAGCTTGTGATTATAGTTTTCTGTTACCCTGAAGCCGTGACAATATTGATTGCTAGCTAGCGCCATCAGTGGGCATCCGTCATTGTGCAGTTAGTTCACTGGTCAGCCCGAAGTGTCAGCAAGATGGAGACTGCTGTCATTTCTCGAGGGGCTGCTGAATAGTTGTGTTGAAATGCCACTGGATGGACATTAAAGTAATAAGGCACTCTCTGTAGTGTAACTTAGTCTGTGATATTTTTTTTTTTTATTTGCAATATTGCGTCATCAGTGGGCACACCTGTGTTCAGGTTAGTTCAGTATGCAGCCGCACAGCAAGGGTTGCTATTTAGCTGTTTGTTATAGTGCCACTGGATGGACATTAACGTAATGTAAACTCGGTAATGTAGTAGTTTAGTCTCTTGTTATTAATAAATTGTTATGTTATAGAAAACGGTCTTTGATGTCAACCCTTTAACCATTCTTTTCCACCCATGTTCTGCTTTATACGATTGAATGTTGAGGTGATATTTTGATATGACGGCTGTCATTGGGAATTCGAATTCCAATTCATAGCGCCACATCAAATATAAATATTGATTGTGAGAACCCGTCGGTTACCCTTTATTGGTTTTAACGTCCTGTTTAACTAGGAGGAGCCAGCGGCCTATTGTGGACAGGTTTTCACCCCTGGTGGTGGATGCCTGGCGGTTTGCTCCCGCTTTTCCTTTTTCTATTGGACTCATGCTTAACTGCCGTGAGCAGCCTTTAAACTTGTAGTCCACCTCCTAAGGGAGGTAGGCGTAGAAAAAAATCTCACAAACAGTCCACCTACAGTCACCAGGGATGTGGCTATACACAGTCCATCTACAGTCACCAGGAATGTGGCTATACACAGTCCATCTACAGTCACCTGGGATGTGGCATTACACAGTCCACCTACAGTCACCAGGGATGTGGTTATACACAGTAAATCAGCAGTCACCAGAGATGTGACCACACAGTCTATCTACAGTCACCAGGGATGTGGCTATACTCAGTCCATCTACAGTCACCAGGGATGTGGCTACATACAGTCCACCTACTGTCACCAGGGATGTGGCTATACACAGTCCATCTACAGTCACCAGGGATGTGGCTATACAGTCACCAGGGATGTGGCTATACAGTCTACCTACAGTCACCAGGGATGTGGCTATACACAGTCCATCAAACAGTCACCAGGGATGTTGCTATACAGTCTACCTACAGTCACCAGGGATGTGGCTATAACCAGTCCATCTACAGTCACCAGGGATGTGGCCACACAGTCCATCTACAGTCACCAGGGATGTGGCTATACATAGTCCACCTACAGTCACCTGGGATGTGACCACACAGTCCATCTACAGTCACCAGGGATGTGGCCACAGAGTCCACCTACAGTCACAAGGGATGTGGCCACAGTCCATCTACAGTCACCAGGGATGTGGTCACAGTCCATATACAGTCACCAGGGATGTGGCTATACACAGTCCACATTCAGTCACCAGGGATGTGACCACACAGTCTACCTACAGTCACCAGGGATGTGGCCACACAGTCCACCTACAGTCACCAGGGATGTGGCCACACAGTCCACCTACAGTCACTAGGGATGTGGCCACACAGTCCACCTACAGTCACCAGGGATGTGGCTACACAGTCCACCTACAGTCACCAGGGATGTGGCCACACAGTCCACCTTCAGTCATCATGGATGTGGCCACACAGTCCACCTACAGTCACCAGGGATGTGGCTATACAGTCACCATGGATGTGGCTATACACAGTCCATCAACAGTCACCAGGGATGTGGCTATACAGTCTACCTACAGTCACCAGGGATGTGGCTATACACAGTCCATCAACAGTCACCAGGGATATGGCTATACAGTCTACCTACAGTCACCAGGGATGTGGCTATACACAGTCCATCTACAGTCACCAGGGATGTGGCCACACAGTCCATCTACAGTCACCAGGAATGTGGCTATACACAGTCCACCTACAGTCACCAGGGATGTGGCCACACAGTCCATCAACAGTCACCAGGAATGTGGCTATACAGTCTACCTACAGTCACCAGGGATGTGGCTATACACAGTCCATGTACAGACACCAGGGATGTGGCTACATAGTCCACATCTACAGTCACCAGGGATATGGCTATACCGTCTACCTACAGTCACCAGGGATGTGGCTATACACAGTCCATCTACAGTCACCAGGGATGTGGCTATACTCAGTCCATCTACAGTCACCAGGGATGTGGGCACACAGTCCATCTACAGTCACCAGGGATGTAACTATACTCAGTCCATCTACAGTCACCAGGGATGTGGCCACACAGTCCACCTACAGTCACCAGGGATGTAGCCACACAGTCCACCTACAGTCACCAGGGATGTGGCCACACAGTCCACTTACAGTCACCAGGGATGTGGCTACACAGTCCACCTACAGTCACCAGGGATGTGGCCACACAGTCCATCTACAGTCACCAGGGATGTGGCCACACAGTCCACCTACAGTCATCAGGGATGTGGCCACACAGTCCACCTACAGTCACCAAAGATGTGGCTATACAGTCACCATGGATGTGGCTATACACAGTCCATCAACAGTCACCAGGGATGTGGCTATACAGTCTACCTACAGTCACCAGGGATGTGGCTATACACAGTCCATCAACAGTCACCAGGGATATGGCTATACAGTCTACCTACAGTCACCAGGGATGTGGCTACACAGTCCATCTACAGTCACCAGGGATGTGGCCACACAGTCCATCTACAGTCACCAGGGATGTTGCTATACACAGTCCACCTACAGTCACCAGGGATGTGGCCACAAAATCCATCTACAGTCACCAGGGATGTGGCCACACAGTCCACCTACAGTCACCAGGGATGTGGCTACATAGTCCATCTACAGTCACCAGGGATGTGGCTATACTCAGTCCATCTACAGTCACCAGGGATGTGGGCACACAGTCCATCTACAGTCACCAGGGATGTAGCTATACTCAGTCCATCTACAGTCACCAGGGATGTGGCCACACAGTCCATCTACAGTCACCAGGGATGTAGCTATAGTTAGTCCATCTACAGTCACCAGGGATGTGTCCACAAAGTCTATCTACAGTCACCAGGGATGTGGCTATACACAGTCCACCTACAGTCACTAGGGATGTGGCTACACAGTCCATCTACAGTCACCAGGGATGTGATCACACAGTCCACCTACAGCCACCAGGGATGTGGCCACACAGTTCATCTACAGTCACCAGGGATGTGGCTACACAGTCCATCTACAGTCACCAGGGATGTGGCTACACGGTCCACCTACAGTCACCAGGGATGTGGCCACACAGTCCATCTACAGTCACCAGGGATGCAGGTGACTGTGGATGAAAGAGGAGCGTCAGAGGCAGAATAATCCCCGACGACAGAGCCAGTACGCTTGGGGAGAATTGTGTGAAGCTCTGGTCCGGCATCAGTGGAAGCCTCAGGAACCCTGGTGGGTGCAGTAGTATCCCAGGTTGCAATCCTTTTGACCATGTCGTGGAGCAGTTGTCTAGCGCGCGTGCCTGGGAACTCCCAGGGCGTAGGTTCGAACCCTCATCACGGCTTCTGTGGATTTTCTCATTGATGCATCACGACAGTGTGATTACTGTCTGTGTATCTGGGAAATATTATATCCTCAAATGGCTCACTTGTCCGTCTTTCTAATGCAACCAGAGACCTGAAAGTTAGAACAATTATCTTTATGAGTAAATTGTGTAATGTTTATACCGATGGAATGTATAGTTATTTATTGGTCAATGTCTGAGGGCGCGAACTGTGGCACCTAATAAGTGTTGACAAGTGTTGACTTAAGCTATAGACACTATAGCTTAAGAATGACTGATGTATATAATAGTGTAACACATGTACTAGAAATAATAAATTAGCTGATAAGCTACCTATACTCCAGCTGGATATTTCGAATTATTAAGGAATTACTGTCACAAAAAGCTAGGTTATTAACAAGCATTTTAAATCCCATTGAAACCAGATCCATGGTAGATGAGCTGTGTTTAGAGTGATGGTGATCCTGGGTAGTAGCCCATATATATATCTCTTGATGTAAAGTGCTCAGCTGAGAACATTTATGTATCTTCATGGCACAAATAGTTTACATTATTCATCGAATTGTCTTATCAAATGAACAAATCCACAAGGGCCGTGACGAGGATTCGAACCTGCGTCTGAGAGCATCTCAGCATCCATTGTCTTATTATCCTAATTTAAGGTTGCCTGGCCAATATAAGCTTCCACGTTCCAATTGTATGCTGTAAATTGTTTCTGTGGCTGTAACACCTGATCACTTGAGTCACACCTGAAATGATCTCTATAAATCACTGAGGAATAAAGCTTCGAAATCCAAATCAAGATCTATATAAATAAAAATGTAAATGTTCGTTTGTTCAAAATCGCTAAACTCCGAAAGTTCTTCACCAATTGCAATGAAAAATTTTGACACAACGTTCCATTGTCACCCGAGCGTGTTTTTATAAACATACTATATAGATGTCAAGTCTGTGATGGGAAAAAAACATGCTCTTTTTTTTAAACTGTGTTTTTCATATGTGGGAAATCTTTGAAACCTCTTTACCGATTGCATTGAAATTTTGATACAACGTTGCATTCGAATAGGCGCATGTTTTTATATACCTACTATATACATGCCTCACCTGTGACAGGAAAAAAACATGTTTTTTTTTTTTAAACAGCGTTATCTGTTGGATGTAAGAGCAACATAGGCTGTAATCTCTGAAAGTTCTTCACCAATTGCTTTGAAATTTTAACACAACGTTCCATTCGAATACACACGTGTTTTTATATACCTACTATATAATTGCCACACCTGTGACAGGTAAAAACATTTTTTTTCACAGCATGATGTGTTTCACGTAATAGCAACACATGCCATACTAAATATGTTACAATTCCATTTCAGTGTTTTTGATTGCATTGATAAATTGA